AAAATAGTATTGTTGTTCACAATGAAAATATTTCTTGGAGTACACAGAGTTTCCTTTCCCTCTGTGTTTCGATTTTGGTAATGCTTGCCACAAACTAGGGCATGCTGTGTTACGGAGTGGTTATCTTGTTGTTTTTTTTGGCCAGTGTCCGAATCCTCCTAAAGATGGCAGTATAAGCAGACCGTATCTCAATTCATATGTCCTTCAATGGATTCCAAAAAAATATTTTAAAGTAAATAACAAAAAAAATCAAATTTTCTCTCCAACAAACTGACGTTTGGAGCCTTGTAAAAATGACACCATTGTAATTGGGCTTTTGACATAGAGCATTCCTGCCACGTGATACCGTGCCTTGAAAAAATATTCATTAATTTTTCCACATTTTGTAATGTGTAATTACCAATTTTATTGGGATTGTATGTGATGGACCAACACAAATTGGCACATAATTGTGAAGTGGAGCTGCAATTACAGCTGCAAGTCTTTTTGGGATGTCTACCAGCTTTGCACAACTAGAGTGACAGTTTTGCCCATTCTTCTTTGCAAAATAGCTCAATTTCTGTCAGTTTGGATGCAGAGTGTCTGTGAACAGCAATTTTCAAGTCTTGCCACAGATTCTCCATTGGATTTATGTCTGGACTTTGGGCCATTCTAACACATGAATATGCTTTGATCTAAACCATTGCATTATAGCTCTGGCTGTATGTTTAGGGTCGTTGTCCTGCTGGAAGGTGAACCTCCGCTCCAGTCTCAAGTCTTTTGCAGACTCTAACAGGTTTTCTTCTAAGATTGCCCTGTATTTGACTCCATCCATTTTCCCATCAACTCTGATCAGCTTCCCTGTCCCTGCTGAAGAAAAGTATCTCCACAACATGATTCTGCCACCACCATGTTTCACGTGCTGTTTTCCACCACACATAGCATTTTGCTTTTAGGCCAGAAAGTTCAGTTGTGACCAGAGCACCTTCTTCCACATGTTTTCAGTTTGTGAGAAGCCAAGTGGGGAACACAGCAAACGGGACTTCTTATGGCTTTCTTTCAACAATGGCTTTCTTCTTGCCTCTCTTCCATAAAGCCCAGATTTGTGGAGTGCACAACTAATAGTTGTCCTGTGGACAGATTCTCCGACCAGAGCTGTGGATCTCTGCAAAAGTTACCATGGGCCTCCAGAGTTACCATGGGCCTCTTGGCTGCTTCTCTGATTAATGCTTTCTTTGCCCAATCTGTCAGTTTAAGTAGACGGCCATGTCTTGGTAGGTTTGTAGTTGTGCCATACTCTTTTTCCATTTTCGGATGATGGATTGAACAGTGCTCCTTGAGATGTCCAAAGTTTGTGATATTTTTTTATAATCTAACCCTGCTCTAAACTTCTCCACAACTTTATCCCTGACCTGTCTGTTGTGGTCCTTGGCTTTCATGATGCTGTTTGTTCACTAATGTTCTCTAACAAACCTGAGGACTTCACAGAACAGCTGTATTTATACTGAGATTAAATTACAAACCGATAGACTCTATTTACTAATTTGGTGACTTCTGAAGGCAATTAGTTTCACAAAATTTTAGTTAGGGGTATCAGAGTAAAGGGGGCTGAATACAAATGTACGTCACACTTTTCAGATATTTATTCGTAAAAAAATTCTGAAAACCATTTATCATTTTCCGTCCACTTCACAATTATGTGCCACTGTGTTGGTCTATCACATAAAATCCCCAAAAAATACATGTACGTTTTTGGTTGTAGCATGACAAAATGTGGAAAATTTCAAGTGGTATGAATACTTTTCCAAGACACTGTACTGTAATGAATGCAATATGTTTAATTGTGGTATATGAAAATTAATACTGACATTACACAGAATATTCTTTTATAAAGATCATGAAGATATTTAGTATGTGTGAATATGTATATCTCCTCTCTGGCCGCTGCCCCAACCCTCACTGTCTCATCTCATTTCCCCTGCTTCCACGCACCAACCCCTCCCTCCTATGTGCCCTCTGGAATGCCCGCTCAGCCTCTAACAAACTCTCTACAATCAATGACCTCTTCTTCTCCCACTCCCTCAACCTTCTTGCTATTACTGAAACCTGGCTCCAGGATTCCAACTCTGTCTCCTCAGCTGCACTCTCCCATGGCGGCCTCCTCTGGACTCATTTGCCCAGACCCAGTGGACAAAAGGGGGCGGAGTCAGACTTCTCCTTTCCCCACAAAGCACGTTCTAGGTTCTTCCTGCCCCTCTGTCTCTGTCCCTCAGCTCTTTTGAAGTGCACTGTATTCGTCTCTTTTCCCCTGTCTGAGGATCGTAGTCATCTACTGGCCCCCGGACCCAGTTTCACGCTTTCTTGATGACTTTTCAGCATGGCTACCGTACTTTCTCTCCTCTGAGGTGCCTGCCATCATCCTCGGTGACTTTAACATCCCAGTCAATGTTCACACCCCTGCCACCTCTCAACTACTCAACCTAACTTTCTCTTTTAACCTAACACAATGGTCACAATCCACCACCCACTCCAATGGCAACACCCTTGACCTTGGATTCACCCACCTATGCACTCCCTGTAACCTCTCTAACACCCCTTTTCCTCTGATCACAACTTTATCAGATTCACACTCTCCCTGCCTCCTACCTCCCATGCCACCAACCAGCAAACTGTCACCTGTAGAAACCTCCACCACCTCAGCCCTGACCTTCTTCACTCCGCTACTGAGCGCCTCTTTGATGAAATTGCACCTCTGTCCTGCCCAGAGCTGGCCACATCTGCCTACAACAACAATCTATCATACTCCCTGGACACTCTTGCTCTTTCTACATGCAGAACCAGGCCTCGCCTGTCACAAACCTGGCAAACAGATGACACCAGAAGTCTCAAGAGATGCAGTCGCACTCTTGAGCGAGCATGGCGTAAAACTAAATCCCTGAAAGACTTTACCCTCTACAAATCCGCTCTTCCCAAATACAACTCCAGCCTCCACGCTGTTAAGCAAACCTACTACAACACTCTCATGAAGACCCTCTCATCCAATCCTCGTCAACTCTTCTCTACCCTTAATTCCTTACGCCACCCCCCACTGCCTCCACTGACCAACTTACTGCACAGAAGATTGCCAGTCACTTCAAGAAGAAGATTGACACAATTCATGATGAGATCTCCAGTGTCAAGCTTCCTCCTCCAACCAACATACCAGGCTCAACACCAAACTCAACACTCTCCTCCTTCGACCCTGTTACCCACCGAGGAAGTTACCAAACTCCTTTCCAAGGCCCACTTCACCACCTGTCCCCTCACGACTATTGCAGCTTCCATCCTGCTCTATCCTAAACTATCTAACCCACATCTTCAACCTCTCTCTTCATGGGCACCTTTCCCTCCCAACTCAAACATGCACTGGTTACCCCCATTCTCATAAAACCCTTGCTGGACCCCACCTGTTTGAATAACTTAAGACCCATCTCCCTGCTCTTGTTTGCCTCCAAGCTTCTTGAGCGCCTTGTTCACAACCGTATGAACTGCTACCTCACCAGCAACAACCTTCTTGATCCACGACAGTCTGGCTTTCGCACACAACATTCCACAGAAACTGTCCTACTAAAACTCACTAATGGCCTACTAACTGCTAAAACCAATGGCCATTACTCCATACTCATACTCCTTGACCTTTCCGCTGCCTTTGACACAGTCGACCACCTGCTCCTCCTCAGTAAACTCCACTCCATCGGCCTCCGTGACTCTGCTCTCTCCTGGTTCTCCTCTTACCTTTCTCAGCGCACATTCAGTGTCACATACAACTCCTCCTCCTCCGCTCCTCTTCCTCTTTCTGTTGGGGTACCCCAAGGTTCTGTCCTTGGGCCCCTCCTTTTCTCTCTCTATACCTCCTCTGTGGGCCAACTGATAATCTCCCATGGCTTCCAATACGACCTCTATGCTGATGACGCCCAGATCTATCTCTCCACTCCCCAGCTCACCCCCTCAATCTCCTCGCGTATCACAAATCTACTAAGCAACATATCAGCATGGATGTCACATAACTACCTTAAACTCAATCTTACAAAAACTGAACTTGTAATAGTTCCTCCTCCCCGATCCCCCACTCGCGACTTTACCATTAAGATCAACAGCCCAACCATTGGTCCTTCCCCTCATGCCAGGGTGCTAGGCGTAATCCTAGACTCTGACCTCTCCTCTGGGCCCCACATCCACTCACTGGCTAAATCTAGCCGCCTCAACCTCCGAAACATTTCCAAAATCCGCCCCTTTCTGACCAATGACATCACAAAACAACTTATCCACGCCTTGGTTTTATCCCGCCTTGATTACTGCAACTCCCTCCTCGCTGGTCTACCATTACACAGGCTATCCACCCTGCAGTCTATTATGAATGCTGCTGCTAGACTCATACACCTTACCAACCGATCAGCAACTGCTGCCCCTCTGCCAATCCCTTCACTGGCTTCCACTAACCCAACGTATAAAATTTTAAATACTAACCACAGCTTACAAAGCCATCCACAACACTGCCCCTAGCTACATCGCCAACCTCATCCACAGATATCGCCCACTCTGCTCCTCCCATGATTTCTTCCTCTCTAGCTCCCTCATCACCTCCTCCCACGCTCGCCTCCAGGACTTCTCCAGAACCTCTCCCATCCTCTGGAACTCCCTACCACAGCATGTCCGGTCAGCCCCCACCCTGTCTGTCATTAGGCGATCTTTGAAAACTCATTTCTTCAGGGAAGCCTACCCCACCTCCACCTAAGAACTGTACTTGAATCACCTCCACCAGATCATCCCCCGCAGCTATCACCTTTTGTATCACCTGCCGCTTCCTTTAGATTGTAAGCTCCATGAGCAGGGCCCTCACATTCCTTCTGTACTGAAATGTATTGTAATTGTACTGTCTCCCTTATATTGTAAAGCGCTGCGCAAACTGTTGGCGCTATATAAATCCTGTATGATAATATCTCGTTGCATAGATTTGACTTTTAAATTCTACTTTCTTGCAGGGATTTGCAAGAATGCTTTCAGAGATTGGGAGAGAAAAGAGCCAGGAGTGGGGGTCCACAAGTCTAGGAGGAGTCTTTAAGATAGAATGGATACGAAAGGAAAACTTGCCTTTTCAATATGCTCACCACTTGATGAACCCCTGGAATGACAATAAGAAGGTGCAGATAAGCCGTGATGGACAGGTAACTTTTAAGCTCTCTCATTATCCAGTTAGTGGACACAGCAAGTAATGTCTGTAAGATAATAGCATAGAAACTTACTAAACTATAGATTTTATTTTTAATATGAATATATTTTAAAACATAACTATAGGGGTGGACACAAAAATGGAAATACTACATGATTTGTAGGGGTAAAAGTGCAGAAATATTTCACATTGAAAGTGGAAGTGATGTAACACACTTTTGCTTAATCTGTGTGATGAGAAATCTACCTAACAGGTGGAAAGCCTCACTGTCATCATTCACTGCATACGCTGCTAGTAATTCGGAGTTGATTCAGAGCATACGGAGCTTCAAAGAGAGCAGATTGTTTGTGCTTGCTTAGCTGGTGCCTCTGTGACTGAAGCTGGCAATTTATTTGCCGTGTTGTGAGGTACAGTATCAAAGGTTATGTGAGGGCATATTCAATTTCTGGGAAGAAGTGGTCTGATGAGCATAACCGCGGTTAAGATGATCAACTGACCGATAGAGAAAAAGACATTACACAGGATTGTGACCCCAAATAAGAATACTGCTGCAAAAGTGACTGCAGAGCTCAATCTCAGTCTTGCTTTTATGAATGAACACAGTGAGGGATAGATGTGATCACTCACGGTGTTCATTCACAACTGAAGCATAGTAAACTGTGTTTACTATGCTTCAATTTGTGAATGAACAGGAAGCTTCTCAGTACAGTGCTCTTTGCATTCATTCACTGTCCAGTGCAGCTGAGGATGCTGAGAAAGGAATCGGGGCATTTCTGTCACTCTGTCTCAAAAGTGAGTTATCAGGGCTCTGTTTAGACCCCTCATATTTCACCAAAGCTCCACAACAGTGCTCCTAAAAAAAAAAAAAAAAAAAAAAAAATAAAAAACTACTGACATCATTCCCTGCGCTAATAGGAAAATACACTGCCCTACTGACAACCAAGAGATCTTTGGAAGGTGGAGATCTACGTGAACAACATGAAAGAGATCAAAGGTTACCTACCCCGGTATAGAGGGATATGCTCTGTTAATTTTCCATTTCAGAGGTGCTTCTCAAAAACATCTTTTAGTGTTCAACATGTGTATAGTTCCAGTACTTTCTTGTATGGATCTTTTGCATTTAGGAAGTTGTTTCATTTAGGAAGTTGTTGCATATTCAGTAAGGCCCCATTCACACCTGAGCTTTTTGTAACGTGAAGCTCCAAAACGCTCAGGAAAAAAAATATCAATATTACTCTATGGAGATTGTTCACATCTCCACTCTAAGTTGCCTGAAGCTCCAAGAAGTTTTTTCAGGCAGATAGATGCATTTTTGCGGTGTATTCATTCCCATAGAAATACATGGAAACACGCAAATCGTGTGTTTTTCATGTGCTTTAGTGCGTTTTGTTGTGCGACCAAGAGCGTTTCTTTGGCATGGTAAAACATAGAAAAATATGATGTAACAGATTACATTTTTATCTATTGGCTAATACAAAAACACCAGAACTCAAAGTCCAAAAATGCCTGAACAAATTGTGCACAAACGTTAGCTATGCGCATAAAAATGTGTGGAGAATGCTATGCTCAGATGTGAGGGCCTAAGAGTACCGATAGCCTAGCAAATTTATTTGTTGGCCATGTTTCTTATGTTTTCTAGGAGCTGGAGCCTCAAATAGGGGAACAGTTATTGCTGCTTTGGGACAGAGTTCCTTTGGGAGACAGGAGTATTTTGCACTAACAGCCTAACCTCAGGTACTATTTATTGTTATTAAATGTCTGTCTATAGACATCTTGTGCAAAAAATTTTTGAGGAGCCAAAAATTTTCTTTGGTATATTAGAGAATGTTGATACATTTTGAAGGTTATTTTATACTATATGCTCAATTCACAAAGATAATACACAGGGATAGGGATGCTTTATAAAAAAACAAACAAAACAAAAGCTTTAGATTGTAAGCTCCACGAGCAGGGCCCTCCTATTCCTTCTGTACTGAAATGTATTGTAATTGTACTGTCTCCCTTATATTGTAAAGCGCTGCACAAACTGTTGGTGCTATATAAATCCTGTATAATAATAATTGTGTGTAATACATTTAGAGCTGTACTATTTGTTTTACATCTGCTTGGAATTCAGTTTTAACGTACTTTAAGCAGAATGATTTCATATTAATGCACATCTACTTGTAGCCATGATTTTAAGAGGCGTTTTGTGCTAAAACATATTTCCCCTGAAATGTTGCTACAGTATGTAAGGCACAGCTGCTATTTAACTTAGGGCTGGAACAACTAATCAATATAATCGATCATAGTAGATAATAAACAGTTGTCACCAATTTTCATTATCGATTAGTTGGCCTGCATACAAAATGCATTATATGTTTACATGTCAGTATACATAGTGCAGCACACATACAGCTCAGTACACCGTCCATACATGTTAGTAAGTGCCTGAGAATATGTGAGGAGCAATGCTTCCTGGGACATGTAGTCTTGGGCAGGAGGAGGGAGTGATTTAAAGTGATTTGAAAGGCATACGTTTTTTTTTACCTTCTAAGTATTAGGGTAAAAAACAAACCACCTGGGACCAGACACCCCCGTATACTTACCTGATCCCCATCTCAATCCAGCAGTACAGCAGTGGGAGCTATTGGTTGTCAATCACAGCCTGTGAGGAGGGAGCGGGGCCGAACCGCACTGTCAACAGAAGCACACTGTGCGGCTAGGGACTGAGCCACCATGATTGTCCCCTTTGCAAGTAGCTAGCTGTGGGGGGGCACTCTGAAGTCTGGAGGAGCCAAGATCACCTGCAAGGGACACCGGAAGAGGAGGAAGAATCGGGGCTGCTATGTGGAAAACCATATCAGAATGTCATATTTGCTATCCACTTGAGATCTGGAAGGTTTTACCCCCTTCATGACCAGGACATTTTTTTGTTATTCAGCCCTGTGCTAATTTAACTGGCAATTATGCAGTCATGCAACACTGTACCCAAATTAAATTTATATAATTTTTTTCAAACAAATAGAGCTTTCTTTTGGTGGTATTTGATTACCACTGGGGTTATTTCTTATATAAACGAAAAAAGACCAAAAAGTTAGGAAAAGAAGCAAAACTTTATTTTCCAATTTAAAAAATTTAGGCCAAAATGTATTCTGCTACCTGCCTTTGTAAAAAAAAAAAAAAAAAAAAATCCCAATAAGTGTATATTAACTGGTTTGTGCAAAAGTTATAATGACTACAAACTATGGTATATATACTGGAATTTATGCAGCTATGATGCTATACTGGTAATGGCAGTGATCAGCGACTTATAGTGGGACTGTAATAGTGTGGCAATCTGTTGCTAGCTGGTGCTGGCTGGGAGGTACACTAACTGATACTAATACATTGATAGGTGCAAATACTGTACACTTGTCACTGCACTAATGACACTGTATGAGAAGGGATTAACATCTAGGAGCAATAAAAGGGCTAACTGTGTACCGAACAAGTGTAACGTGTGTGGTATGTGCTGCATTTATTAAGAGACTTGGGAGAAGAAACCACCAAATTGCTGCTCTGTGTACAGAGCCCTTTGTTTGTAAACACTGGGTTCTGTGCTGTTTTTGGACATGGCTGATCAGCAGGTTCGAGCCATAAATCATTGGCCAGGACCTGCTGATGAAATCCTGCTGTGTCCAACCGTAGCACGGGATGGCAGCGGGGACACTCCCCAAACCCAGAAACAGGCTCCCAATGTTTACGTTGCAGAGCGTACAGCTGCCGCCATGTCACAGTAAATCTACTGTGACCGGGCTGCAATTGGTTAGGAGGAAAAAAAAATTCCAATGTTCATAACCACATTAAGAACTCTGTGCAGGGAAGAGAAGCATCTGAACCCAGAAAAGCTGGAAGCCACCGCCCCCCCACCACCACCACCACCCATGTAGCTTTATGTCTACATAAAATACCCTGTGTATACTACTTCTGAGTATATTTATTAAATAAATAATTTATTTTATTTAAAAACATTTTTCCTTTTAAATAAAAATTTTGATCCGAGTCTGATGATATATACGTACTAGGTTCAACCTCTATAAGTATATAAATTAGTGGTGCACCAACATGAAAATTCCGGTACCAAAACTGAAAGTTCAGGATGCCCTTAGCCAAAAACTGAAACCAAAACCGCTTTTAATTTTTTTTTTTTTTTTATTTTATTTAATGTTGCTGGCATTTTTGCATTGAAGTGAATGGGACTCGATTTTGCATTGAAGTCACTAGGGGCCTTTTTGCATTCAAGTCAATGGGGCGCGACTTTGCATTCAAGTCAATGGGGCGCGACTTTGCACTCAAGGCAATGGAGCGTGACTTTGCGTTCAAGTCAATGGGGCGCGACTTTGCATTCAAGCTTATGGGGCGCAACCTTTTTTTTTTTTTTATGCCAATAACACTATTTTTGGCCAATATATTGCTGCATCACTCATTTAAAAATATATCTCTTCTGTTATTCTGAGAGTGGATTAGATATTTTGTTTCCTAACCATATTGCTGGTTATCTATATTTACCATTGCATATAGATATTCAAGAATAATTTGTTGGGGTGTTTGTTTTTAAACTTGCATATTAACTAAATTGCACATCACACTTTTTTTGAGGTTTTTATCCAATTAATAAATTAATTGAAACAATAATCGTCCAACAAATTGATTATGGAAATAATCAGTTGCAACCCCAATTTAATTTCATCAGTAACAGGCTTTTGCAGGTCATAGATGGGGAGAAAAAACGGCAGATTTTTTTTTTTTAAAAACGAAAATTCGGTCGTTCAAGCGGCCGACGTTACCATCAATGGTAAAAAAAATCGGCCGATTTTCATCCCTTCTACAGCTGGCAAAAAGTGTCCCTGCAGAGAGCTCCGCTATTTCTGACAGTTCTCTGACAGTTCCTTCACATTTACAGCGGTTGAAACATTGTATCTATTTGTTTCCATTTAGGATACAGATGTTTTTATTCGGAAGCAAATAGATACAATGTTTCAACCGCTGTAAATGTCAAAGAACTGTCAGAAATAGCGGAGCTCTCTGCAGAGATACTTTTTGCTGGACTGGAATTCTTATTTTCATCCTACTTCTTCTTCTTCTTCTTCTTCATCCTCATCCTCTTCTTCTTCATCATCCTCTTCTTCTTCTTCATCCTCATCCTCTTCTTCTTCTTCTTCTTCTTCTTCTTCTTCTTCATCCTCTTCTTCATCCTCATCCTCTTCTTCTTCATCCTCATCCTCTTCTTCTTCATCTTCTTCTTCATCCTCATCCTCTTCTTCATCTTCTTCTTCATCCTCATCCTCTTCTTCTTCTTCATCCTCATCCTCTTCTTCTTCTTCCTCATCCTCATCCTCTTCTTCTTCCTCATCCTCATCCTCTTCTTCTTCCTCATCCTCATCTTATTCTTCCTCATCCTCATCCTCTTCTTCCTCATCCTCATCCTCTTCTTCTTCATCCTCATCCTCTTCTTCTTCTTCTTCATCCTCATCTTCATCTTCTTCTTCTTCTTCTTCTTCTTCTTCTTCTTCATCTTCTTCGTCTTCTTCATCTTCTTCATCTTCTTCTTCATCTTCTTCTTCCTCATCCTCTTCTTCTTCCTCATCCTCTTCTTCATCCTCATCTTCTTCTTCATCCTCATCTTCTTCTTCTTCTTCATCCTCATCCTCTTCTTCATCATCCTCATCCTCTTCTTCATCTTCTTCTTCTTCATCCTCATCCTCTTCTTCATCTTCTTCTTCATCTTCTTCTTCATCTTCTTCTTCTTCCTCATCCTCTTCTTCTTCCTCATCCTCTTCTTCTTCCTCATCCTCTTCTTCATCCTCATCCTCTTCTTCATCCTCATCCTCCTTCTTCATTCCATCCTCATCCTCTTCTTCATCCTCATCCTCATCTTCTTATTCTTCCTGATCCTCTTCTTCTTCATCCTCATCTTCTTCTTCTTCTTCTTCCTCATCCTCATCCTCATCCTCTTCTTCATCTTCTTCCTCTTCCTCTTCCTCTCTTCTTCTTCTTCTTCTCTTCTTCTTCTTCCTCTTCTTCTTCTTCCTCTTCTTCCTCTTCTTCTTCCTCTTCTTCTTCCTCTTCTTCTTCCTCTTCTTCTTCCTCTTCTTCTTCCTTCTTTCTTCTTCCTCTTCTTCATCCTCTTCTTCATCCTCTTCTTCATCCTCTTCTTCATCCTCTTCTTCATCCTCATCCTCTTCTTCATCCTCTTCTTCATCCTCATCCTCTTCTTCATCCTCATCCTCTTCTTCATCCTCATCCTCTTCTTCATCCTCATCCTCTTCTTCATCCTCATCCTCTTCTTCTTCTTCATCCTCATCCTCTTCTTCTTCATCTTCTTCTTCATCCTCATCCTCTTCTTCTTCATCTTCTTCTTCATCCTCATCCTCTTCTTCTTCTTCATCCTCATCCTCTTCTTCTTCTTCTTCATCATCCTCATCCTCTTCTTCTTCATCCTCTTCTTCATCCTCTTCTTCATCCTCATCCTCTTCTTCATCCTCATCTTATTCTTCCTCATCCTCTTCTTCATCCTCATCCTCTTCTTCATCATCCTCTTCTTCTTCATCCTCATCCTCTTCTTCTTCTTCATCATCCTCATCCTCATCCTCTTCTTCATCTTCTTCTTCTTCTTCTTCCTCATCCTCATCCTCTTCTTCTTCTTCATCATCTTCTTCATCTTCTTCTTCATCATCTTCTTCATCTTCTTCTTCATCT